AATGTCTTTACTTCCTCAGGAGGCTAAGGAAATTCAGCATGCCCATACAGAGTCTTACCAATTTTTATAGATACACCCTAGAAGTCATCCAAGGTGGCGGCGGAGTAGGATGCTCCAACCGGAGCTCCTCCGCTCCTTCTGCTTTTTCTCGTTTCCTTATTTTATCCCCTTTTCTCCCCCACTTTTTGAGGTTGTCCTGGCCTGGTCTCTCAGTGGGTCCTGGCCTGGTCTCTTGGCTCGGTAAGGGGAGATCCGAGAGGTGGCAGTTTCAGCAGCAGCAACGGTATCTGCAGCAGTGGGGAGAACAGATAGCTGAGGTCTCCCCAGAGAGCAAGATAAGCAGAGGACTCAAAGACTGCTGAACTTTTAACTTATTCCTTTATTTTCCTAGTTTAAACTACATAAGATTTTAGTGTAAATTAGTATCTATTTCTTTATTTTTCTACTATTCTATCAAGTAACGCTTAACTTTTTAACTCTTAGTTTCTCTTATTACCATGAACTTAATTCTTTTTGTACATAGGTACCTGGCCAACATTACATACTGTTCCCTGAACTCCTGTACTTGAGTACATGTGACAATAAAATCGAAAATCTAAAAAGAAATCTAGAAAGCATTCTACCTGGATGCATCACAGCGTGGTTTTGCAACTGTTCTTCCCAAGACCCAAAGAAACTACAGAGAGTCGTGAACACAGCTCAGTCCATCACGCAAATCAGCCATCCATCTATCGACGCCATCTATACTTCCCGTGCCTCGGGAAAGAAACCAACATAATCAAAGACCCTTCCCATCTAGACAATACTCTCTTCCACCCTCTTCCATTGAGCCGAAGATAAAGAAGTTTGTATACACATATGAATAGATTCAAAAACAGCTTCTTCCCTGCTGTTATTAAACTTCTCAATGGACCTCTCAAATTTTAAATTTAACTTTGATCTCACTCTCTGCACACCTTTCTGCAGCCACAACATTCTATTCTTCACTTTGTTTTTTTATGTGCTTTGAATGGTATGATCTGCATGTACTGCACGCGAAACAGAACTTTTCACAGTACCGAGACACGTGTGACAATAATACATCAAAAGTTTCCACTTTCATTTCTTTCAAAATCTTCAGACACATCTCATCCGGTCCTGGTCAATTTTAAGTACCAAAGGTCTATCCAACACTTAAATAAAACAAAGAGCTGCAGATGTTGAAGCAAAAATTTGAAATTGCTGGGAGAAACTCAGCAGGTCTTCCAGAATCGTTCTCAAGGAGGATCACTGGAGTTGACAGATTAGCTGTTTTCTCTCCATAGGTGCTGCCAGACCTGAGTTTCTCCAGAATTATCTGGTATTGTTTTTATCCAACATTTCTTAGCAATTTTGATTCCTTCTCGTGACAGAGTTTCCTCCTCAGTCATTATGGACTGGCTAGCATCTCCCTCTTTGGCAAAAACAGATGCAAAGTATTCATTTAACACCTCAGCCATGCGTCCTGCTTCCCAGTGTGAATCTCCTATTTAGTCCCTAATCAGACCTAATCTTCCTTTAGCCACTCTTCTACTATTTATACGCCTGTAGCAGACATTAGAACAGCCCTTTATGTTGACTGCCAGTCTTTTCTTATAATTCCGCCAATTAATTTTTCTCACTTTGGATTGCTGCATGTTAATTCTCCATCATCATCCCGGATCTTATGGTACAACGATCAGTGTATCCTAAATGCTCCCCCTAATGACACTGGATCCACTTGGCCTGTCTCATTTCCGAGAACCACATCCAACAGTGCATTCTTTCTTGTTGAAGTGGATGCATCCCACTGTGGGAAGGTCTTCTGCATGCCAATACAGAACACTTGAACCTCACTGTCCCCTACACTACAAGTTTCCCAGTCTAGGTTTTGGGAAATTGAAGTCTCCCATTACAAACAGTCTATAATGTTGGCATCTCTTTGCAATTTCCCTGTAGATTTATTCTTCTAAATCCTTTCTTCAATACTGCAATTCTCTCCTTAACCAATACAGCCAGCCTTCCTCCTTTCCTTCCTGCTCTATTTTTTCAGAACACGCTGTGCACAAATATTTAGTACACAGTCTTCATCTTCCTTAAGCCAGGTCTCTGTTAATCACCGTAATGAATACACTTATACTTGATCACACAAGAACGCCCATAAGCCACTGCACAAGTATCCCTCCTCTAATCAGAGAAATACAGAGACACACAAAAAATGGATGCAAAAGTACATCAGATCAGTACATTTTTGTGTGATACAGCAAAAAAGAATAGCATTTCTTGGTATAATTCCTGAATTTTTTTTCCCAACTCATTCACGGGGTGTGGGTGCCACTGGCTCAGCCAGCATCTGACTGTCTCTATTTGCCTGTAAGAGGGTAATGATGACCTGCCTTTTAAAACTGTAGTCCTTGTGGTGTAGATATATTCACAAAGCAGTTAAGGAGCAACGTTCCACAATTTTGACTCAGTGGTGACGAAGGAATAGCAATTAGGGTCGTGTCTGCCTTGCAAGGAAACCAACAGGTTATCTTCTGATGTGGACCTCCGTGGTGGAGATCACAAGTTTGGAAGATGCTGTCAAAGGAGACTTGTGCATTGCTGCACTGCATCACATACATGATATACACTGCAGCCAATGGTGTGTCAGTGAAAAATGTGACTGTTGCTAGGTGGGGTGTCAACAAAGTAGGTTGCTGTGCATTGGATAAAGTCAAACTTCAGTCAATGGAAAGCATTCCATCATATTATTGACTTTGCCTTGTAAACGGTGAACAGACTCAGGAGTCAGGGGGTGACTTACACATCGCAGAATTCCTAGCCTCTGAACTGTTCTTGTTGCTTATGTGGCAGGTGTATTTCAGCTCTTGGTCAATGGTAATCCCCCCAGAACGTTAATAGTAACAATTCAATGCCATTGAACATTAAGGACAATAACTGAATTCTCTCGAAGATTGTGATTTGCCTGGATCTTATTTGGCATCCAGTGTTACTTGCTAATTATCAGTCCAAACCAAACTGCTGTCCAGCTCTTGCTGCATTTGGACATGGACTGCTTCATATCAGAGGAGTCACAAATGGAACTTCATGAATTAATCAGTGAACATTCCCACATCTGATAGAGGAAGACAATTGATGACGCAGCTGAAGACAGCCGGCTTGGGATACTACTCTGAGGAACGCTTACAATGATATCTTGTGGCTGAGATGACTGACCTCCGACAATCATAATCACCATCCTCAGTGCTGCATTAAACCACCAATACCACACCGCACCTCCCCCCGCCCCGCCCCCGCCCCTGCCCCCACCCCTCACCCAAACCGATTGGCTGAAGATTAATCCAAACGTTCCTGCCTTTTCTTGTGCACCAATGTACTGGGCTTCCCTACCATCATGGGTGGGACATTTGTAGAAACTCTTTCTCTACTGACATTATTTAATTTTTCTCCATCTTATTGTGATGTTCTTTATCTTTTGGAAAGAGACGAAAACGCAGTTGATGAGAATTTTCAAAGACTTTGGTAAACTGGCTAGCAAGGTTAGATCACATGGTATCCAGGGACAGCTAGCCATTTGGATAAAAAATTAGCTCAAAGGTAGGAGACAGAGGGCGATGGTAGAGGGTTGCTTCTCAGACTGGAGGCCTGTGATCCGCAGTGTGCCAGAATGATCGGTGCTGGGTCTGCTGCTTTTTGTCATTTACATAAATGAATTGGAGGGGAATATAGGAAGCATGGTTGGTAAGTTTGTAGACAACGCCAAAATTGGCACTGCAGTAGACAGTGAAGCACGTTATTTCAGGGTACAATGGGACCCTAGTTAGATGGGTGGAGGAGTAGCAGATGGTGGTGAATTTAGATAATATGAGGCGTTGCATTTTGGTAAGGCAAATCAGGGCAGCACTTATACATTTAATACTAAGGTCCTGGGGAGTGTTGCTAAGCAAGAAACCTTGGGGTGCACATTCGTAGTTCCTTGAAGGTGGAGTCACAGGTAGACAGGGTAGCGAAAAAGGCATTTGGTATACTTTGCCTATATTGGTCAGTCCATTAACTATAGCATTCGGGATGTCGTGTTGCTGTTGTACAGGACACTGGTTAGGCCACTTTTGGAATGCTGCGTTCAATTCTGGTCTCCCTCCTATAGGAATAATGTTGTTCAACTTGAAACAGTGCAGAAAAGACTTAGAATGACGTTGCCAGGGTTGAAGAATTTGAACTATAGGGAGAGGGTGAATAGGCTGGGGCTATTTGGCTTGGGCTGATAATTAGCAAGTAACACTGATGCCAAGTAAGATCCAGGCAAATCACCATCTTCAAGAGAGAATTCACCGTCAGAGACTGAGGGGTGACCTTATAGAGGTTTATAAAATCATGAGGGACATGGATAGGGTGAATAGCCAAGGTCTTTTTCCCAGGGTAAGGGAGTCCAAAATTAGAGGGCAAAGGTTTCAGGTGAGAGGGGAAAGGGACCCAAGGGGCAACTTTTTCCACGCAAAGGGTGGTGCATGTATGGAATGAGCTACCAGAGGAAGTGGTGGACATTGGTACAATTTCAACATTTAAGAAGGCATCTGGATAGGTACATGCATAGAAAAAGTTTAGAGGGATATGGGCCAAACACAGGCAAATAAGACTAATTCAGTTTAGGAAAACTGGTCGAAATGGAATGAGTTGGTCCAAAGGGCCTGTTTCCAAGCTGTATAACTGTATGATTCTCTCAGTTACATTGATAGTGTAACTACCAATGCCTTGAGCAGTAGCACACTTATTCATGCAGCTCATTGGGTATCAAATAAACACAGCTTTTCTATTCCGGATGTTTGAATACGAGTACTAGCCACAATAGTTGAGTGGACTAACTGTTATTTGGGTTGCAATTCTCATTGTTCAGGTTTTCTGCAATGTCTTCTTTCAATCAATCAATCAAGTTCACGCTAAATCAAAACAGCATAAAAATTGAAGCTATTACTTACTAACTAAAACTGACTAAATTCACTTGGTGTTATGGGAAAGATTTCAGAAGTAGTTTCCTGCATTATGGCATGCAAATGCAATCTCAGTAAACAAAGTTCCAGTTTTCAATGAATTATAATTTCAGCCAACTTTGGTCTTTAGCATTGTGATCAAGAGAAAAAGTGAGATCATTTCTGTTTCTTTGATTTCCTCTGTGAAAGAAATGGCAATTTTTCAGGTAAGACAGAACTCAAAAGCACCCAGCAAGTTCAAGATTTTACTTAGTTTGTGGCTTTTGTCCCCACTTTTAATGTTAAGATCATAAAATTATGATTTTTGTTGAATCCGTGTAGGTTTAGTACAACACCACAGTTGGACTTTAAGATGTTTTAATTTTGTTGTACCTACACATTTTTTCCAGTTCAAAATGGATTATCACTCGGATGCAGCAATAATCTCAACATAGTCAAACATCTGAGTTTGGCACCAAAACAATGCAAAAAAATTGAAGTGAAATTCTGCGCTTAAGGTGAATGGTGATTTATGAAACATTTCTCCATTTTTACCTCAATCTTGAACAATGCCAAACTAGGTACAGCAATGGATAGGTGTCAACGGGGTGCAACTTGCAACATACTCAATTGGTAGCACACTCAACGTGAGCTTGTGGATTAAAGACCCTCTTTGGGATTTGAGCGCAAAAATCTAAAGAGACACTGTTTAGACAGTAAATCAAGTGTGCACTCCTCCTCTAGATATCCTATTTAACAGTTATCCCTCAAATCAACATTACAACTGATTATGTGGTCATTATCACATATATGGGTGCTTGCTGCAAGTTGACTGCCACGTTTTGTACACTACAACAGTGAACACACTCGAAAATATATAATCAACCGACTGTAAATCATAGGTACAGAGCACAAAGAAATCAAAACCAAAATTTGTTTCAATATTCACAACCCACCAAAAAAGATCATTTAATGCACCAGACTGTAGTATTTCATTTCTCACATTAGCCATCTTACTTCTGAGCAAACTTTCTAATTTGACTCAATTAGACAATTATGCATTGTGGATTCATGGCTAATTGTAAGTGACCTGAAACTATGCTTACATGTATTATCACTATTGCAACAATGGAGACAGTCTACCATAGATTAAACCCAGGATCTAGAATGAGCAACAACACTAAGGTACAGACCTCAATCTGTTGTGATATATAAAATACCTGAAATGATTGGGCTTCAGTTTTACTACTTGAAGTGACTGCTGACAAACTTTATAAACAAGATAAGCTAAGAGGTCTAACTTTATGAAAATATCACCTTTTGCATTTGACAGATTTTACAACACAGTGCAATAGTCTTAAAAATCTCATTTGAACAAAGCATTAAGGAAATGTCATTTGGATGTGCTCAGGGCCCTTTGCTTTTGAGCCCAACGTTTTGTAACAGAATTATGGTTCTGCATTTTCTAATCTCAAGATCTTCAAAGGGTATTTGACAGTGTCCCTCAATTATTCCTTTCTTATTTGAAGATATTGACTTGCACAATGATCAATTCCTAAATGTTTATTACAATACCTAATAGATAATGTGTCAGGGGAGATACAAAACTTTGAAAGGCTGCTAATTATTCCATGGTATGGGGTGTCACAACAATCATGATGCTGTTTTCATCTACATTTTTCAGAAGTAGTCAATGAATAACTATTAAAAACAAGTGTCCTGGCTGATTTTCTTTCTACTTCTGTACGATTTTACTGAAATTTTTGTCCAATTGAGATTAACTAACACAGCAGACTAAAGATCAGTCTGGGAGTTCAATCACACACAAGTTGGGGCCCATATTATTGCCATTGAGGCAATGTAATGCCAACATGGCAAGACTGACATGATGATGGATTGGAGAAATTGGGTTAGAATTCTCTTGAGTTTCAAAGAACAAGATGTGATCCCACAATCTTATAAAATACATTAACGGCTATACAGGGTAGATACAGATATGCTGTTCCCCAGGTTGAGAAGTCTAGAATCATGGAAAACAATTTCAAAATAACTGAGAGATAGTAAGAACTGCCGATGCTGGAGTCTGAGATAACATGGTGTGGAGCTGGATGAACACAGCAGGCCAGGCAGCATCAGAGGAGCAGGAAAGCTGTTGTTTCAGGTCTGGACCCTTCTTCAGAAATAAGGGAGGGGAAGGGGGCTCTGAAATAGAGAGATGGGGTGGTGATGATAGAAGGTGGATAGAGGAGCAGATAGGTGGAGAGAAGACGGACAGGTAAAGGAGGCGGGGACGAACCCCATACAGGTGCGTCTAGCTGGGGAGTTGGGATGGGGGTTGGTCAGTGAGGTGGGAGGAGCAGATAGGTGGGAGAAAAGACGACAGGTCAAGGAGGCGGGGATGAGAGGGGCTGGTCTTGGGATGAGGTCGAGGGTTGGGAGATTTTGAAGCTTGTAAAGTCCATATTGAGACCATTGGGCTGCAGGGTTTACAGGCAGAATATGGGGTGCTGTTCCTCCAGCCTTCGGGTACCATCGTTGTGGCACTGGAGGAAGCCCAGGATGGACATGTCGTCCAGGGAGTGGGAGGGGGAGGTGAAGTAGTTTGTGACTGGGAGGTGTTGTCGTTTGTCACGAACCAAGCGTAGGTGCTCCACAAAGCGGTCTCCGAGCCTCCACTTGGTTTCCTTTATGTAGAGGAAGCCACATCGGGAACAGCGGATACAATATACCACATTAGCGGATGTGCAGGTGAACATCTGTTTAATGTGGAAGGTTTTCTTGGCGCCTGGGATGGAGGGCTCGGGGGAGGGGTAGGGGCAGGTGTAGCACCTCCTGCGGTTGCAGGGAGAAATGCCAGGGATGGTGGGGCTAGTAGGGTGTGTGGAGCAGATGAGGGAGTCGCAGGGAGAGCGGTCCCTCCGGAAGGCCGATATGGGTGGGGAGGGAAATATATCCTTGGTAATGGGGTCAGATTGCAGGTGGCGGAAGTGGCGGAGAGTGATGCATTGAATCCAAGGTTGATGGAGTGATACGTGAGGACAAGGGGAATTCTGTCTTTGTTGTTATTGCGGGGAGGGAGCTTGAGGGGTGAGGTGCGGGAAACGCAAGAGATGCAGTCGAGGGCGTTTTCGACCGCTGTGGAGGGGAAATTGAGGTCCTTGAAAAACGAGGACATCTGGGATGTCCGGGAGTGAAACGCTTGACCTTGGGAGCAGATGCGGCGGAGGCAAAGGAATTGGGAATGGGGATAGCATTCTTGCAGGAAGATGGATGAGAGGAGGTGTATTCTAGGTAGCTGTGGGAATCGGTGGGCTTGAAATAGATATCAGTATCTCCTCTGGTAATCACCTGGAAAGTGACAGAGGGGTCCAGGAAGGAGAGAGAGGTATCAGAGATGGTCCACGTAAACTAAAGGTTGGGGTAGAAGGTGTTAGTAAAATGGATGAACTGTTCGAGCTCTTCGTGGAAGCACGAGGCAGCGCTGATACAGTCAATGTAACGCAGGAAGAAGTGGGAGATGAAGTGGGAGATGAAGTGGGAGATGAAGTGGGAGATGGTGCCAGTGTAGCTGCTGAAGAGGGACTGTTCCACATATCCTACAAAGGGGCAGGCATAGCTTGGGCCCATGCGGGTACCCATGGCCACCCCTTTCGTCCGCAGGAAGTGGGAGGAGTTCCCCACCTTCAAAATAACTGACCCTTCTGTTCTGAAGAAAGGTCACTGGAGTCAAAACATTAACTCTGTTTTTTTCTCCACAGATGCTGCCTGACCTGAGTTTTTCCAGCAATTTATGATTTTATTTATAAAATAAAATATATTCAATATTAGTATGTTAGCTTACTGTTCGGTATCCTAGACAAGAGATAACTTAAACAGGTTTAAAAATCATAAATGTAGCAGATTTAACCAACCTTCAGTTTTGCTTAACACTTTGGAGAAACAGACAGCCTTTAACTTTTAACCTGTAAATTAGGCCAAAAATTTTAAAAAATTCTATCAATACGTTACATCAGTAAACCCAGTTTCGAATTACCTTATGGTGTTCTGCATTGATTAAAAAGCCTGATACATATTGCATACAGGTACGAATTAGTAACAAAACCAAGAGAGTTATCAGTGAAAGAACATATGGGGTTAATCACAAAATATTGAATTTACTTGGCTTTGAATCAGAAATACTGAGCAACAACACCATGCACATTATAGCAGTTAAATGTGGAACCCCATTTTCTTTCAACAGTGGACATCAGTAATTCAATCCATATCACATCAAAACGCAAGATGGTTAATTCAAAACAATTCATAACAAAATACAGTATATTAACTACCTTGTGTAAGCAGGTGTCCACCACCCAGTTGCAGACTTTCTCAAGGTCATCCGTTATCTCTAGTCTAGATCTAGCGAACTCACAGAGCTCCTCATTGGACATCACATCCCAAATGCCATCACATGCCAGTATAATAAACTCATCTTCTTCTGCTCTAAGAATCTCATATACTTCAGGCTCTGGAGATACCAGCTGCTCTGTTGGCCCCTTCCCATCGACACACTTGTAATCATAGTCCCCTAGTGCTCGTGACACAGCTAGTGACCCATTAACTCGCTGTATCATTACACTGCCCCCTGCATTCTGGATCCGCTCTTTCTCCCTTGGGTTGCAAGGCTTATGATCCTGTGTTGAAAAGCAAAGTTGTGCGTTTCTGTACAGAACAGCTCTTGAATCGCCACAGTTGATAAAGTATGTGTGCTCTGGGGAGATCAGGACTGCTACAGCTGTCGACCCACTCCTGTCCATGCCATTTCTCAGCTCTGAAAAATTACGCATGTACTCATCAATTTTCAAAAATCCAGTTCTGATACCACTCTTGACATGTTCTATGGTAGGTTCAATGGGGTACCCAGACACATTTGTGCCTCTGAAGTCTTCATTACTTGTTATATGTTCAAGTAAGTGCTTTGAGCAGTAGTTTGCCACACGAGAGCCTGCATGACCATCATATACTGCGAAGAAGGACCATGTGTCCAAACCTTGAGGAATGCCAACAATGGCTGTGTGAGCATCTTCCATCTCCACTCTCCAACCCTGCATGCTGCTAAGGCCATAACGCAAGTCATTCCCTGCACCATGTGCATTATGTTTCTCTGTTTTTGGTTTATCCAAAAATGCACCCATTTTGCACTTTCCTGAAAGAAAACAAGAGACACACAAATAACGAGTTATTTGGAACATAAAAATCATGAACAAAATGCTTCAATTGGGAAAATACAGCATAGGACCAAAGGTAAAAAGATTTGTATTTAACCTGACTTCATTGCCTGTGTAAGCATATGCTAATATTTGTTTTCTGGTATAATAATAAAAAAGCAACTGAAAATGTTTCCACGTAAAACACAATCGAATGCAATTTCCCAATTTCCAAACTTCTCCTTACGATGAAGCAGAAATCCATTTGTAAATTTGAAGTCACTATAGAATAAGTTACGAAGTAATTGCTACGCTCACAAGTTTTCAAATAAATTTCCATGGCAAAAAGTGAACATTTATAAGATCACAGAATCTCAAACACATGAATAACAAACTGGAATAAACCAACAAGGACTCAATTTTGAGAGAGTGAGAAAAAAAAAAAATCAGCATTGCTTGCGAATTTAATATTTCTGAGGCTTGTGTAAATCTTGACCGCATAGTTGGCAGGGAAGCTAACAATATGTAATAATTATTTTTGCACATACAGAGCAACGATCTTTTAAAGAGCATTTCCTTTAGAATTCTTGAAAATGTTTTTACCTGATTCTGGATCACGGTGAAAAACAAGTTAAATATTTTGATGTAACTGCCTGAAAAGCCCAAGTCGCTCAGTCATTGTATTAACATATTTGAATCTTAAATTGATGAAATGTTAAGTGATTGGCTTCATTTCATTGAATGAGTTCAAATGTCTTAACTCTACATAGCCAGTTCCTGCTATGAGGCCAATAACAGTATTCTAATCAGAACTACAATAAATAACGTTCCTCTGTGATGTGATTTATCATGTCCACACGTTTAAAGTTCCACTTTTCTTCTGTCTTATAAAATGGAGCATATTGCCATACGGTCAGACAAATTGCCACACAAACTTCAAATTATTAGTGTAGAACTTCCTCTGAATTCAATACTATACTAGAAGACTTACAGGAATAAACTTGAGATCCATAACTATATCTCTAATTCTTTGTAAACATCTACCTAAGTAGTGTAAAATAAAGTACTGTGGATGCTGGAGATCTGAAACAAACAATAACAGAAATTGCTGGAGAAACTCAGGTCTGGCAGTGTCCGTAGAAAGGGGTCACAGGACTCGAAATGTTAACTCTGTTTCTCTCCACTGACGCTGCCAGATATACTGCATTTCTACATCAGTAGTATAACATGATACCTAGTAAGGAAGACAACTGATCTAAACTAATTGTGAATGACAAAACCATTGTGATTCAATAGGACAACATGTAAGTTGTAATGTTAATATCTGAAAATGTCAGCTCTCAAGTGCTAGAAACTGATTCAAAATTTGACTAACATTAGTAATTTTGTAAAATCTAAAACATGGATTGATAAATTGATATGACCCCTGTGCACACTCATTGTGGAAGGAGCAAATCCATTATATATGTGGCCTCCTCCTAAGGTCCTCACTAACACAAATGCATATCTCAAGTCAATTTGATTCACTCCACAAGGTATCAAGGAACAGTTGAAGACACTTGATACTACAAAGGCAAAAGGATCTGACAACATTCCAGCAATATACTGAAGAACCGTGCTCAGAACAAGCGATGCTGGAGCCAGACTGTTACAGTACAGTGATAACACTAGCACTGGCCCGACAATGTGGACAGTTTCCCAGTTTACATCCTGACTACAAAACCAGGACAAAACCAACCAGCCTATAACCATCCTATCAGTATATTCATGATCCAAATGACAGAACAGATCTTCAACACCGGTATCAAGCAGCACTGCCTCTAACTAATCCACAAAATCCACACATGATGCTCAGTTTGGGTTCCGAGGCAACTTGGCTCTTAGGTCATGACAGCCTTGGTACAAACATGGACAGAAGTACTGAACTCCAGCGGTGAGATGAACGTGACTGCCCTTGACATCAAGACATGATTAGTACACCATGGCATCAAGGAGCCCTAGCAAAATTGCAGTCAATGAGAACCGGGGGTAAACATGCCACTTGTTGGATTCAAACCTAGTACAAAGAAAATGGTCGCTGTTGTTGGAGATCATCTCAGTTCCAGACCCCTCTGCAAGTGCTCTTCAGGGTACTGTCCTTGTCAAAATCATCTTCAACGGCTTCATCAACAACCTTCTCATAACTGTTGTGCCAAGCATGGGGATACCTACTGATGATCGCACAATGTTCAGCATCGTTTGCAGCTGCTCAGATACTGAAGCAATCCATGCCCAAAAGTAGCATGGCGTGGACAACTTTCAAGCCTAGGTTTGTAAGTGACAAGTGACACAAGTGCCAGTTAACAGCCACTGCCAACAAGAGAGAATGCAACCCTCTTCCCCTTAACATTCAGCGGCATTTCAATTGCGTAATCTCCCACTAACAACAGCCAGGAGTTTACCTGTGACAGAAATTGAAATGGATCAGACAAATACTGTGGTTACTAGAGCAGGACAGAGGCTGAGGACTCTGCAGCAAGTAACTCACCTGACTTCCCAAAGCTAGTCCCTTGGCTAAAATGGCAGAACTTGCCCAGACAGGTGCAGCTGCAACAACATTCAAAGCTTGCCACCACCTAGGAGAAAGCAACCACTTGAGCAGCACCTCAACCACCACCTTCTATGTTCACTCCCTCCACCAGTGTACAGTGACAGCATTATGTACCAAGTACAAGATATGCTGCAGTAACTCACCAAAGTACATTCCAGGCCTGTAATCTACCACTGTACCATCTGGAAGAAGAGAAGTAGATACATAGGACACCACAATGTGCAAGTTCCCTTCAAGCCACACACCACCCTGACTTCGAATTAAATCACCATATGTTGTCACCGTGTCAAATTCCGAGAACTCCCTTCCAATAGCACAGAGTATATCTACACCACAACTACAGCAGATCACTAACTTCATAGGCAATTATGCAATAATTGCTTACCTAGCCTATAACTCCCAAACTATGCACAAATGATGATTTGTCATCAAATCTAACAATCTGAATTAGTAACGGACAACTCATTTTATTTCCTTTGCTAATGCAGATATAATGTGAACCATTGTTACATCAGAATTAAACCGCACAAAGTAGCATCTCAAATAGCTTCATATTCAAATAGTTTGCAAGACTCTGATGAAGCTGAAGTTGAGCTCCTCAGCTTAGTCATTTTGCTTTTTATGTTTTGTAAAATAGAGACTGACTAATTTAGAAGAAAAAAAATTATAGCTACTTAGTGAAGGCCTCAGTTCTTAATCGCCCTTTCTCAAACATTAGTACAGTTTAGAAATTTTTTAAAAACTACATACGACTGATGTGAGTGTTTTGACAGAATGGTTATAACCACTTCACTTAAAATTAGCATAGTCTAAGCAACTGAATTCTCGTACCTATCTTTCAGGAAATTTCCAGCTCCATCCTTCACCTACTGAAACAGCAGTCAGGCACATCTATAAAAGCACCTCTGACAACATAACCTTGCAGTATGCTCTGAATTGTCCTTTGCCATCCATAATTCAGCACTGTACTGCCAGCTGCTAAGCTATTTCTACCATTTCTAAAACTATGATCCAGCCCCAAACATTAATAAATTTGAAGTATTTTCAAGAATTATTTATACTGGCAAATTTAACTTGTAAAGATATACCTCTTCCCTTCCTTCTCATGCCTCACTTGAGAACTTCAAGTAGTTTAGCCTGATAATACAATGCAGCACTAACAAGACTGACTCCGATGTTAAATCAAAGATCCATCTGCGTGTTCAAGTGAAGATAAAAAATTCCCAGGGTACTTTTCCACAACACAACGTTTAGGAAGTTTTCCTTGTGAGACATATTCCAGACAATTAACACCTCAAACAAAAAAACCGACTAGGTATTTATTTTGCATGCTGCTGAGGAATTTACGATGTACAAAACAATTTCAAAAGTGGTACAAAGGCTCTAAAAGACTTCGGGGCATCGCACGGATGTAGAACTTCAAGTACTTTATCCAACAGTTCCTTCTTCCAACCACAAGAGGAACAGCAAATCATTGATGAACTGCAGCAAATCAGCAAAACATCTGAAGAATCAACAGGGGCAAAACAAGTTGACTACTCGTACCAAAGATTAATTAAAGATGCAGTGACTGCTTGATGATGCTTTCACTGAGAACACAGAAGTGAAGAACAATGCATTGAATTTCCACCCAACCATTACATCTACATACATAACGTTACTTCAATTCAGTGGTATCCTTTCAAATCCATACTTTTGCAGCAATAGATTGATACTTGATAAGTAAAGGCATGAAAGGTTATGGTTAGATGGAAATATTGAGTAATCATATCAGTCATTGTGAGGAGCCAAATGGCCTACTCTTGCACCTAATTCACATATTCTCATGTTCTACTGCAAGTCCCAATTTTGTGGACAGCCCCAACTTGAAAATTCATGATTTATACAATGCTTTCATTCTGATTAAATTTTATCAGCTAAGCAACTCTATACTATTGGTTTACAAACACAATTTTCTAATCCATTTAAATTGAAATAATGAGAACTAATTTAAAAACTGCAAATGAAAACAATCTGCTTGATGCAACTACCATCAGTATCCACTATTTGTTCAGCTAACTTACTACTTTCAGAACTCTCTCTTGCGAATTATTAGGGCACTGTAAGTAACTAGCGAGGGCACTACTGTTTGCTTGGATTTATTCTGACATAAACAAGCTAACAACCTGCTTATTTGAAACTGAAAATAAAACAAATGAAGTACTTTACTTTCATCAACACCAACCCCGACCCCATGATTATATTTTCTTCATCGGTCTAATTTCTCATCTAGCCTGCCATCTCACCCCTACTTCCTTTGGTTGCTCCCAGATTCATATTTTTGACATTTATTTCATATTTGATCTCTTTTCTTACCACTCCCCACTAAACACGAACTAACCACCTATTTCGAGATTTTTTCAATGTATA